GGAAAGTACAAAATGAGCCTAGAATATCCTGTTGTACCAGAGAGCAAGGAAGTGCTAAAAAGATAATGGTGATATGTCAAAAGAACAGAGGAATCAGAAGGGGCTCCTGTTGGTCAAATCTGGTACAATCGGTAACAATGGTAATATTACCATAGAGTAGTCATAGAATAAAATAAGAATCTATGCCCTCATACCAATGTAAAGAAAGAAAGGAGAGCTTTTCCTTATAGCAGATTTAATAAACTAGTAAATATAGAAGGAATAATGAAGTTAGAATATCATCATTGTGCAACTGTTATAGCAATAAATGATGTAGACAAGAATTATCAATGGGCCCAAACCGGTTTGGCTCAGTGGATAGAGCGTCGGCCTGCGGACTCAGGGGCCCCAGGTTCGATTCCGGTCAAGGGCATGTACCTGGGTTGCAGACACATCCCCAGTGGGAGATGTGCAGGAGGAAGCTGATCGATGTTTCTCTCTCATCGATGTTTCTAACTCTCTATCTCTCTCCCTTCCACTCTGTAAAAAATCAATAAAATATATTTTAAAAAAATGTCCCAGTCCCTTTCCGCGCGCGCGAGCCCCGGGTGAGCCCCGTACCTCTGTGCTTCTCTCCTGCAGCTTCTGTGGGTCTCAGTGTGCCTTTCCTTCCTTCTAGTTGTAGAGTTTACAGTCAGCCAGGCTTCCTGTGGTTCTGGGTGAAGTCCGTATTGTTTCTCTGAGGTATTAATCAATTGTTGTGTGCGGCGTTAATTTCCCGGTGTTTATCTCTGCCGCCATCTTAGTTTCCCTCCCAAAACTTGGAAGTTTGATGAAGAATAGGATATTTATATAAACTGAAAGTTCCTCCTTACAAAGTATTTATTAACTACAAAAGGAAAAAGTGAACACAACCATAAACAGCTGATCAAAACTAACAATACCAACAAAGAGACAAACTGACCTCATGTGCCACCTGCTGTGATGTCCTGAGAAGGACTCAACATCATTTCTATGGTGCATCTGCCCAAACTGCACAACCTGAATCTAATTATGAAGGACATCAAGCAAAACAAATTGAAGGACATTCTACTAAACAACTAGCCTGTAATCTAAAAAATAAAATAAAATAAGTTCATGAAAGAAAAAGGAAGGCTGAGGACCTGATCTAGAATAGAGAGATATAAGTGCAATGTGTGATCTGCACTGGATGCTGGATTATCAGGGAAAATAGCTATAAAATAGGACATTATTGGAACAGTTGGTGAAATGTGAATATGAATTGTGGATCAGATAATAATTTTGTATCAATGCTACATTTCCTGATTTTGATAATTGTGGGTATATAAAAAAATTCTTAGAAAGTACACACTGAAGTATTTAGCAATAAAAAGGGCATAAGTAGTTCAGAAAAATGTGTGTGTGTGTTTGTGTGTGTGTGTGCACGCACGCGCACATGCGTGCGCGCATTTGCGCGCGTGCATGTATATATGAATAAAATGGTAAGCCACCTGGGGCAAAATTTTAGCAATTAGAAAATAGCAATAAATGTTTGGGGGACATTTTTATAATCATTAAATTATATACAAATTAAAAGTAGAAAAATATTTGCACTAAATTGGAACTATCACACATTGCTGGCAGGAGTACAAATTGATATGAGCACTTGCAGAACTCTGATAATATCTATTAAGGCTAAACATATACATCCCTAGGTCCCAGCAAGTCCACTCTTATATTTTTATTTTTTTAAATATTTTTATTGATTTCAAGAGTAAGGGAGAGGGAGAGAGAGATAGAAACATCGATGATGAGAGAGAATCATTAATCGGCTGCCTCCTACACACCCCACAATGGGAATTGAGCCCGCAACCCAGAATCAAACTGTAACCTCCTGGTTCATAGGTCAACACTCAACCATTGAACCATACCAGCAATGCTGAACTGCTAAAGACATGGGTGGTCTTGAGCAGCAGAGGGCTCCCAAACATGGAGTGGGGGTGGGGAACCTCTCTGTCCAGCATGCTTTAGAGCAGTGGTTCTCAACCTGTGGGTCGCGACCCCTTTGGGGGTCGAACGACCCTTTCACAGGGGTCGCCTAAGGCCATAGGAAAACACATATATAATTACAAATTGTTTTTGTGATTAATCACTATGCTTTAATTATGTTCAATTTGTAACAATGAAAATACATCTTGCATATCAGATATTTACCCTGCTGGCCAGCCTCATCCCTTCCATCCTGTCCCCTGCACCTGGTCTCCAGTCGGGATCTCTTCAGCACCTGCTGAGAGGTGGCACCAAGCTGTCTTCTCATTCTGACCGTGTCCACACCTGCCCTACCTACTCTCCTCTTAGTCATTCAGCAACACTCTTGATAATACATTACTACAAAGGTGCAGCAAGGACTGACTAAGCTTTTGTGCCTTTTTACAATGGAACATTGTGGTTATTCATATTGAGGTGATGGAAGAAAACTTAATAATGTGGAAAGACAGGCACCTATTATGAAGTTGATTGCAATGTGATCTGCTTTTGGAAAATTTTAAAAAATGCATGAAAATACTAGATGTACTTGTAAACTGGGGGTGGGGGGTGAGAGAAAATACTAGATGTACCTCAAAATGTTGTCATATTCTCTAGGTAATGGGACTAGAGGTATTTTCTTGTTAAGTGTGATTTCTAAATTGTATAAAAATTAGCATTGATCAACTTTTATTGGCTTTTATGCAGGATTTTTTTTCTACTGTTCAGCAAAACCACCTCTTTTCTGTTAACTCTGACCTGCACTTATCTCATCTTTCTGTCCCTAAACCTCATTATTGGTTCTGTATAATCCAGTATGAAGCTATAATGTCTTGTATTATTACAAGATACTTTCATTCCTGTTCATCATATACCTTTAATGAAGAAAAGTTTTCTCGGGTCAAATTGTGACTTATTTTTTCACTTTCCCCATCGCGTAGCACTTTGCAGAACGTGGCCACTTGATTGTGACTTGGTCCTGGGTTCTCAAGGCTCCACATAACTCACAGCTCTCATGGGGATGGTGCGCCCCAGGGAAGTGAGGCTTACTTATTCCTGACCCAGGTGTCCAGTCCCTGCCATTCCAGGCTGCTCAACCTATAGTCTATTCTGCCTCTGTCTTCTCTAGTGATTGGGCTAATGCCCTGTCCAAAATCCAAACTGACTGTTCTCCAGTAGCTAGAGCACAAGCAGGATTAGATGGTCACCGTTGCATTTTTTTCTCATTATTTGTGAACTGTATTAGAGATCGGGAGGGTTTTACTGACTACCATTCTTTGAGAAATTACCCCATATCCGTTCTTGAAAAATGGGCCTTATTGCCATAGTGCCTACTGTGGTCCGGGTCCTCTGCCAGGCAGTAGCTCTGCAAAGGTGACTGCTTGCAGGGAAAGGTCCGGAGAGGCATCCCTTTGTTCTCGTGCTTAGTCCGTGCGGGGAGGCAGCTGTTTTACTAGCCAGCCTTCTGAATTGACCTCCGCAATATTTTACTTCGTGAGTCAAATCCAGAGACCACCGTTTAACACTAGGAACATCTCTCTTTTCCATCGCTAAATCAGAAGGGTGACATAGTTTACTTAAACAAGGCTTAGAACAGGCGACCCTGCTGTTTTCTTGACAGTTTTATTTCAATGGCATTCAGACATGATTCTCCATAGATACTTGAAGGGCTGTCAGGTAGAAGGAGGACAAGATTTGTTCTGTAACCAAATCCTATTGATTCTACAACCCTAACGTTGCTCCAGTTTTGCTCTTCCTCCATCTCCCTTGCCTCGGTCCTGGTCCAGACCACCTTGCAGCCTCGCCTGGATGGCTGTGATGGCCTCCTGACCCGTCTGCCAGCCTGTCCAGTCTTGCTCCTCTAATCCTTTCTCAGAGAGCCTCAATAATCTGTTTAAATTGTAAATCTGATCACGCCACGCCTCTGCTTCAAATCCTGTAATGCTTCTGCATTGCCTTCAGGATAAACTCTAAACTCCTTAGTATTGCTTTTAAAACCCAGTCCCTGCTTAGCTCGCTAGCAGGACGCCTCCCAGAGTGTCAGCTTTACCAAACCGCTTGCACACCAAACCCTGAACACTTCTTCTCTTCCCTCCAGATTTTGCTGAGAACATTTCCCCTCCCCTCTTCACGTAGTTAGCTTGTCTTCCAGGGGTCACCCTGATGTCACTTCCTCCAAAAGCAAAGTCATAGCCTCTACGAGCTGTGCTTACCTGTAAAATAGATACCTGCACTACCTACTTCTCAGATTTTGAGCAAGATGAGATCATGAATGTTAAATTACTTGTAAAAGCCTTAAAATGAAAGATATTATTTATCATCTAATCTGCGACTTGCCGCTTGCTAATTTTAGTTTTGCAACTGCATTAGAAAACGAAGTGCCACATGGGAAGTCTGATGGCTGCAGGCAGAGCTGAGAATGAGAACAGAGAGATCTACTTTCCCTGTGTCACAACACTGACCTCGGGAAAAGACAACAGTGGGATCGAGAGCGCCTATTTAGCCTGGCCGGCGTGGCTCAGTGACTGAGCACAGACCTATGAACCAGGTCACAGTGTGATTCCTGGTCAAGGCACATGTCCAGGTTGTGGGCTCGGGCCCCCAGTGTGGGGTGTGCAGGAGGCAGCCAATCAATGGTTCTCTCTCATCATTGATGTTTCTATCTCTCACTCCCTCTCTGAAATTAATAAAAATATATTTTAAAAACAAAATAGGAAATCCATTAAAGCTATACAAAATAATAAATAAAAGAGCGCCTATTTAGCTAAGCTCTGTCAAAGGCCCATTGTTCCTGCCATTAGGGAGATTCCTTGGAGCCTAATTACTAAAACAAGAGGAGTGGGACCCCAATGTTTTAAATCGCTGTGAAAATCAGCAGAAACCAAACTATACACATATGCAATAGACCTTCCTCTGGGCCCCTTCATTGATGCTTCAAGTCAAGAATAGTTGATGCATTTCACCTCCCCTTTGGCTAGAAAAACCCAATGAAACCATTTAACTTAAACGTTTTTTATTAGGAACCAGGGGATTGAGCTGCTTATCCCTCTCTAACAGTCGAGAGCAGGTCATCAGGCCCAGGATGGAGAGGTTGTCCACGTGCTGTGGCGTGCTTTGTTGCACTTGCTTAGGGCCTGGAAGGAAAGGTGGCGCATCGGAGGTTGGCAGTAACTGGTGTTAGCCAAAACACCAACAGCCTGGGGAGAGCCTTCTACTTTCCTTCCAACTCCACTCAAGGCTGGAGCATGCCAGGAGACAGAGAATGCGGCTGGAGTGGGTAGAGCACAGCAGTGTTGTCTGAACCTCCGACTTCATTCAGTGCTACTTCACTTGCCTGCCCTCCACTCTTCTTGCCGTTTAGTGATCAGGTATTTGAAGAACTCATACACAGACCATGCAATGGCTGTGGAGGGAATCTGGTAAATTACTCTAGCTTGCACCCCTCGGAAGTAGGCGGTCACACCACCTACTTGATATACCGTCCTGAAGGCACTAGCCATGCCTGTAATATGTCCTGTGAAGTTTGAGTTCAAAGCCAGGGATTCCTGGGTGTTGAGCAGTGTTTTGCAAACGTCCAGTGGGGTTGTGACAGCGGCAGCTACAGCTCCTGCACAGGCTCCGGAGACAACATGGGAGCTGGGGTTGTACCGTCTCTGGGGGTTAAAGTGCTCCTGCAGGAATTCATAGGTCATGAAGTGAATGGCTTGGAAGGGAACGTTCATGGTCAGCTGGGTGGTGTAGCTGCGGTAAAAGGCTCCGGCCCCTTCATTTTGCCACACTGCCCGTACACAGTCTGTCACCCGGTGGTAAGGTGAGTTGTACATCTGCATCCTCTGCTTGACCACTGGCAATGCCATCAACGAGAAGGAAGAAACGGCGACAACAACCAACCGGTGAGCAAGTGTCCAGATTCAGAGTCCCAGGGGAGCGATCAGCCAATGGAATGGAGACAGAAAAAAATATGAGCGAGCTGTCAGCCTGATACGGTTTCCCTTCTTTGAGAGAAGGGGATCTGAGAGGGTTTGCAAAAAGCCCAAAAATAATGGACCCACTTCCAGCAGGATTTCTTTAAAACCAGCTAAATAACACCTAAGATAGAGGGTTTCCTTGAAATAAGTAATTACCTCTCATTATATCATGATTATGTTACCTTTTTGTAACTCCCGAAACAAGAAATGACTTGGTGGCAGTGAACACAGTGCATCCTCAGGTACTACGAGCACCTAACTCGTACCACATGAGGACGGTTATACCTCCCACAGAAAGAAAACAAAAGTCCTAGCCAAGAGTCTGGCTTCAGTTCCCAAATATGTATCTTCCACTCCCTCAGGTAGACTACATGGTATGAGCTCCCTGGATCTTCACTTTAGTTTTGGCCCTCTGCACACCATGGCCTTGCCCAGACAGGCAAAGAACTGGAAGTTAAGGAACATGGCAATTATGCTATCCCTTCCTATCTGCTTGGGAACCTCATCATCCAACTAAAATGCCAAGATCCAAGCCACGGGGCAGGGACTGAACTCTACAATCCACCCTTTCGTTCCTATCTCAACGATCTTTATTCCAACAAGGCAGTATTTTCAAACGTGAAAATCCATCTTGATCTCTTTGAAGTGAAATAACCTGCTAATATTCTAGATGAGACCAATTGCACTACAAGGGGCTCCCACGAAGGCCCGGAAACAGGCCCAGCAGAGCCGTATCTTTTACCACGGAAGCCCTAAAGATGAATTAAACTCAATATGCTACCAGTCCAAGGGGCTCTTCCTAAATTCGGACGTGGACGGAGCGCCCTCTAGTGGTAAGACAAGGTAACGTGGCAGGACTTCCCACCAAAACTCAGGTTTCCCAGCTTTCTTCTGCAAACCAGAAATAATAGATGCAGATGCCCACAAAGGGAAAGTTTGAGAAATGATTACCTTCAGCTGGATTCATGGCTGCATCATGAAGTAATGTAGCTACACACCCGGCCGCACCTGCAAAGGAGAAAACAACTGCCACATGTGAGGTCTGGAGAGGGCGACTGATTCACTGAGGCTCAGAGTGAAGGGAAGTGGCTGTGCTAAACCACAGTGGGGTGAGGGAATGCTAAGAGCCAGTTCAAAAGATGGGAACCTACTGCTCCTAAATCCCTGTTCTGAGAAATGAAGGTATTTGTTCCCACCAACTTAGTAAGGTCACCAACATACTTTCCACATCTAGAATACTAAGGGCAGGAAGAATCAAAGAAAATGGCCCAGATTTTATCAATAAAGATTCCAAGAATAGGCCCTGGCCAGGTAGCTCAGTTGGTTAGAGCATTGTCCTGATACGCCAAGGTTGGGTGCTCAATCCCCAATCAGGGCACATACAAGGACCAACCAATGAATGCATTAACAGGTGGAACATCAAATTGATTGTTCTCTCTCTCTCTCTCTAAAATCAATTTTTAAACTTTCTTTAAAAATTATGGTTCCAAGAATAAATTCACTTCATGCCCCAAATAGGAAGCAGATACACTGCTGCCAAGGAATGCCAGCACATCAACTGCCTCCAGAGTGGGGAGGACATGAGGGGCAGGTGCCAGATCGTCACCAAAGGATCTCACCTTCTATCCCAATGCCCCTATGCAACCCAACCTGCCTCCAAATCTTAACATCTGTCCATCTACCTTTCTTCAAGTCCCGAACTACCATATTCCTCACCATCTGCTCTCTACACTCATTTTGGTTTTTGGGCGATCCTCAATCTCCAGGCTGCTACTGGAGATTCCCTTACTTCCATAACTTCAACCCTCTGGTTTCTCCATACAGAAGTCCCTTGGCCCCACCCCCATTCACTTGTTGAGGTCTTGTCATGTCCTCAATGACAAGAACTGCCACTAGTCAGTTGGGATCCTGAAAAGGTGAGGCGAAGAGCTGGGGCTCCATTAGTGTCTTCCTTGGGTGGCTGGGTCACCTCCGATCCTGCTGAGGAGCAGGACACCACCCGACTATCAAGAATATACAACGGGGCAGTTCAGTGTGTGTCTCCACATTACCAGGGCATTAGCAGCTGATGCCAGGGAGATGATGAGAGGAAAGAGTCAAGCTGGTAGGTAAGGGAGGATATTGTAACCCTTTGTTGAGGTGCCCCAAAGGAGGGGTGGGGTTGAAGCGGCCGGTTGTCTGAGAACATCAGGTTTGGAAGTCCCTCCCCTATAATCTGGCCTACCCCAGCCCAAAGCTTCAGCTCCAAACCATGCTGAGACTGGAAAGCATTGATAGCAGCAAAGCCCAAAGAGTTGGGAAAATGGGGGAACCAGCACAGGAAGGCTCAATACCATTGGCAATATGGCTATTGCCCCCAGGATGGATTACATCACTCAATGTCTTTTTTAATTTTTCGTAGCAGGCAAAATAGAGGGCATGGGCAGGCCCTGCGCCTGTTGCTGTGACATTCAGCCCCCGCATGGGCCTCCACAGGCCCTCGGTTCTTATAATCCTCCAGAGAGCCTCCAACACATTGCGATAGCGGGCCGCTGGGTCGGGCTGTAGGCTCTGCATTCGGGTCTGAAATTACAGAAAGAAGAAGTGCAATGTCAGTAATGCCAAGTTCTCACTCAACCTCAATATTCAGGCTTTAGGCACTATGCAGACCTTCTTTGTGGCATCAAGCCAGTGGGCAGGAGTGACACCTGCCATCCAGTTTTGCTTGCTTCCAAATTTATATCCGATCTTTCTAACCCTTGGACCTTTCTTTTTCTACTCATTTATGACCCTAAGAACAGAATAACACTATTTTCCCCGAGAATATCACCCCTTGGTAAGTGTCCTGGAACTCCAAAGTGATGCACAGCCCAGCAACAAATATCAAGCCTGTGTTTCAGATGTTTGTGCGCCTTAATAACTCAGGCTAAGAACTCTACAAATGTCAAGTATTTAATGTCTGCACATACTGATGCATTTCTGAAGATGGATCGTAGGCCTCCTTCCTGACCAAATACTACACTGATTAATGAAATGAAGATGGCTCATCTTTTGATAAAACTGAGAGTTGATAACCTGACTTTTTCACAGTGTTTGGCATTGACAGCTGGGTCTGTAAGATCAAATCTTGGCAAAAGTAGCATTCCCAATAGATACTGCTCTAATTTCCTGGGAAGAAAGTTTACCCTGAAACTATGAAGTTGGAAATCAACCTAGTCTCTAAAAGTGAAGAGGCTTTCAAAATTCTAATCTAAATTGACCAAATCCCCAGACTGGCATCAGTGAATAAAATCAGTCTCCGTAAAATATAATCTTTGGAACCTCCAGGGGGTTAAAAAGATTGGAATGAAAGTTTATGGTAGATACATTTTTTTCTTTTAACTTCTGTTCCATGTAATACCATAGACGAATCCAACAAGCATAATATTAAATGAAGTAAGTCAGACACAAGAGTGTATATTGTATGATTCCATTTACCAGTATACAAGTCTGTCAATGTACCAGTAAAAAAATGTCCCAGCTTGTAGAGAATTTTTTAAGAGGTTATTTAAGCCAAACTGACAACATATGCCAGGGAAGGGAGCAAGATCTCAAATGTTCCCAGTAGTCACTTTGTATGATATTCCTTGGCAAAGTTTTATTAAAATTTGGAAAATGAATCTTACTTGAAATACTTCCCACAGAGGAAGTTTCTCTGAAGGTTGTGTCTCTCAATGAAGATCTCTTGTCTATTAATCCATTTCAAGATTAAGATGGCACAGGGACTCACAGAATATAAAATCAGTATCTAGTGCCTGGAACACAGTAGGCACCCAAAATGTGTTTGTTGAATGAATAAGTGAAAGACTTCATGAATCTTAGCTGTGTCTGTACCAGTTCAAAACGTAGCAAATCAGCCACTAGTGAGCCAGTAGGGATAACTAAAACCCAAGTACAGTTTAAATTCCTACTTCCATCTAATCATTGACTGAATCTGCATTTAAAAGCTTGAACCTTGCCCTAACCGGTTTGGCTCAGTGGATAGAGCGTTGGCCTGCGGACTCAAGGGTCCCAGGTTTGATTCTGGTCAAGGGCGTGTACCTTGGTTGTGGGCACATCCCCAGTAGGAGGTGTGCAGGAGGCAGCTGATCGATGTTTCTCGCTCATGGATGTTTCTAACTCTCTATCCCTCTCCCTTCCTCTCTGTAAAAAAGCAATTAAAAAAAAAAAGCTTGAACCTCCTGTTGGCCATCTGGAACCCAAGAGTAATGCCTTTCTCAAGAGCATGGGAGAAAAGAAACTAACTGAATTAACAGAATCCAGATTAACAGGTCCTAGTTAGCCACAAGCAATCCACATTCCTCTATTTTCCTGCCTGCTACCAACGAAGAACTGGAAGCTTGAAAGCTTAATTACTGTAAGTTCAATAAAAAATACACAGTATAACAATACATTTGGTTCCACTTCTCAAAAAAAAAAAAAAAAGGGAACTCTAATCCAATATAGGGTGTGCTTACTGATCTTTCACATCACCCAGGGGCGTAAAACCCATCAGATGAATTATTCAGAGAGACTATACGTCTTTGTTGGCTATGGCTACTAATAGATAAATTGGGCCCAGTGGCTTAACAATTATGTGTTTCCATATATTTGTTTGAAACTGATCTTGTATAGGGAGAATGTTCAGAAATTGTACTGCTTTACTGGAGTCAATAGCATATTTAGGTAACCAGTCTACTTTTTAAAAAATATTTTTTTATTGATCTCAGAGGGAGAGATAGAAACATTAATGATGAGAGAATCGATTGGCTATCTCCTGTACACCCGCACTGGGGATCAAGCCTGCAACCCAGGCATGTGCCCTGACCAGGAATTGAACCATGACCTCCTGGTTCATAGGTCAATGCTCAACCACCAAGCCCACTGGCTGGCCTAGGCAACCAGTTGTGAAAGATCCCGCCTCAGAGGTAAGACCTTTGAAAGCTGGAGGTAAGCTACTCTGAATATTTCACACACATCTAAACCTAACTCACAATTCTAATTCAATGAAAGTAAGCCCTTATAAAGAGGACCCAGGCATAAGTTTGCCAATTAAAAAAATGAATATATTTTTCCCAAATGTGTGGGCCAATAAATCTCAATTTTGGAAAAAGATGAAATCTCTAAAAATTAATAGCCTTCAATAAAAAAATCCCGGCTTTGAAGAAAAGCCAAACAAACTATTGGGGAGATCAGTGGTTTGGTAAAACAAGCCACATATGAGTCAGAAAGCCTGAGTTTAAGCCCCAGCTTAGCTAAATGTGTGGTCTTGGGTATGTCAACCTTTCTGAGCTTCAATATTAAACATAATACTGCATAGTCTATAGCATAAGATTAAGAATGGCTGGCTCATAGAGCTGTTGTGAGGATTCAAAGATTTAAGGCATGTAAAAGCCATTGGTAATTTATAAGGTATTAGAAATAGGCTTTTTATTGTATTCAAATATGATTCTCAGAAATATCAGTTCATATCTTAGAATTTACAGATCATGGCAGTGTTGTAAATTGTATGTCATTCCACAAATATGCATGGGCAACTAACTGGTCCTTAACCACTAATAAATCAAGTTTAATTTAGTTTTGTTTTTGTTTCATTTTAAAGCTTCTCTGTGCCCTGGCTGATGTGGCTGTTGGTCGGAGTGTCATGCCATATGCTGAAGGTCTTGGGTTTGATTCCCTGTCAGGGCACAGATCTAGGTTACAAGTTTGACCCCCGGCCTGTCCCCAGTCAGGGAGCATGTGGAAGGCTACTGATCGATATTTCTCTTTCACATTGATGTTTCTTTCTCTCTCTCTCTCTCTCTCTCTCTCTCTCTCTCCCTCTCTCTGCCTCTCTCCCTCCGTCTCTAAAAATCAATGAAAATGTCCTCGGGTGAGGATTAGTCTCTCTGTAGCTATAATTGTATGTCCAGCTTTTAATCCGTAGGCCATGTTTAGGAACCAGCACTACTGTGAAATTCTGTGCTGTACTTGGTTCTGGAAATCTGCTTTTGAGATGCTGTATGGAAGGCTCACACTGGGTTCAAATCATGACTGTACCACTTAAATTATATGACCTTGGACAAGTTACTTAACTTGCCTCCTTTTCTTCATCTGTAAAATATTGAAAATGGTGTCTACTTCATGAAGTTGTTTCAATGATTACATAAATAAATGAATATAAGGCATGTCAGATAGTGCTTGGCAAGTAAGAACAGTTGCCATTTATTGAATATTTATTGCTATTATTAGGTGCAAGAAAATCAAATACGCCAATGTTTCCATTTCTTAATCTTTCATCAAATGTGTATAGATATCCATTTACATCTGGAGTTTAGAAAAATGCCCCTCTAACTTATGGGAGTAAATTATTTGCTTCACTATTACAGAGCCAAAAAGTGGCACCTTGGTGACTGGTGGGTACTTTGCCAGATGGTTTTGAGAAGAGTTCTATCTGCTTTGAGTTGCAGAGCCTATCCCTATAGATAAAGCCTGGTACTTGCCTCCCAGAAAAGGAAAACTGGGATTTATTTGGGTTCTCTAAGTACCCTATGACTATGGAAATAGTTGGCCGAATAATTACGGCCTAGCAAGGCTATGCTCACTTCCCATGGTCCCTCCCAAGGACATTTTAAGTTGACTTGACCCAGATAAGTGGCTGGGGGTACACAGGGTTGCACGGCAAGAAGCAACGTCAGCTCTCATTTGCTAATACTGTGGTTGCATTAGAGGCTCCAACACAGATAACTGCCTCCAGCCTTCGGGTACAGTTGGGTAGCTCTTCTTCACTACCACTCATTTATGGTGAAGAGGAAGAAGAGCCGCCAGGGACAAGTGAACTGTGAAGCCTCTTCTGAAGGAAGAGGTTTGAATTTTACTTTCATGTCTGCACAAGTCTTTAACATACGTCCTGACACCAAATCCTACTGATCTCACCCAGTTCTTCCCTCTAGTCATTTAAGTCCCAGCATTAACGACAAATGAAAATGATTCTTCTAAAATAGTTTTTGTGTTTTTGAAGACTCTTTAGCATTTTTCTTCCAGATTAAAAAATTATTTCTTTTAATATAGGGCATTGAGGCATGACTATAATGTTGTATGACTAAGTGAAAAAAAAATTCTAAAAGTTATGTAAATGAGTAAGAACTGTTCTTCAAAAATAACTGTAGTTACCTTGGAAGGCTAGAAGTGACTCCTGGCAATGCTGTGGTTATGCAAAACATTTCTGGCACTCTTCTTCAGAAGGGGTTCCCTCAATGGATTTCTCAGTCTAGGAGTTCATAGGTCTCCTAGCTTTTTGGTCCCACCTTATCTTTGACCCTAAATCAGTATTACACATTGTGACCTCCCACCTTATCTGACATACTTGATTCTGAATGGTCTCAGTTACTAAAAATTCAATTCCATTTTGTCACAGGACAAAGATTTGCCCCATTAGATTTGCCTGCCCCAAATATTCTAGAGGCATTTCTAACAGAGGAATTTATAAAATGTTTACAACAACAATAGCATTATGTAAATACATGGAGTAAGTAGTTATAATATTTCTAAGTTAGTTACATTGCATTGTATCTTTCAAGTCATTACATAATTTTCATTGCATTCCTTGATCTAGTTTTCATTTGATACCTAGCCTGAAACAGAGCACCCTAGACCCTGCTCTTCACTCACAGTCTAAGTATAGTGACGTTATTTTGCAGTTAGATCATATTAACTTTTGGATATACAGCACTGACAATTCAGTCAGCCAGCCTAGCCTCTACTACATAAATGTCTGAATCTTTTTCACTTGTAGTTATCCAACTTACATTTCAATACTGTTAGAGCATTAACCATCTTCTTACTCCTCTCTGGTGGATTTTACTGTTTATTCCTATTCCTCCCCATTGACAAGGACATTTAAAATTCTAATGTCCACTTTAGCCAAGGGCATTCACCCTTTCAATGGGTATGGCCCCTGTTAGGAGTTACCTTTGCAATATTCTAGAATCCTACTACCACCTCAGTGTCATCCACAAAGCTTACTAAGCCCTTTCCCCATCTCCGCATCCACATTACTAATGAAAACATGAAACGGTACTGGAACCAGGGAAAAGCAGAAGAGACAGACTGCATTTCTCAATCTGATCCCCTCCTTTCGAATATATAACATTTTTCTTATTTGAGGCAAAAGCATGCATCAAAGAGCTGACAGGATATTGTTGGACTATACCCTTAACATGGAAAGGAGGCACCGGTCTCTGTCGTATTTATTTCAAGAGACGCCCCTTAAGTTTACTTCTCAATTTAGTTCTCACTTCTTTTAGCGGCTGGTACCTTAGCTCATGCACAAGAACTGTAACGAATAACCCGTTTCCCCTCTTCGCCCAGCTTTCTTCAGAAGGACCCGACTTCTGTATCCACAAATCAGCCTGCGTAATTCCACCCAAATCATGCCCTCGAATTGAGCCCATATAATCTTCTTCACACTTACATCCTACATCCTCTTTCTGATACCTAGTGCTTCCCTCCTAGGCCACTTTCCCCCTTTGGTCAACTCCAGATGGCTCAAGAAATACAGTCAGCCCCATCTCTCAGTTGGGAGCTGATGTGCTCCCTGCATATAGGACACAATCCTGATCCCAGCTCAGTCTGCATGTTCAGGAAATAGGTGGGGTGTCGCGCTTGCTGCACAGAGAAACCGAAACCTCTTTCCCACGTTACTTCCAGTCCGGCACTCTGCACAATAACTCCCAATCGCTCCCCGGTTACATGGATTAAGTAAACCTTTTATCTAGCTGAGCGGTCCCAGATTCTGATTCCTGCCCCGTCACTTTTGGGGGGAGACACAGCAAGGAGCTTGTAAAAGCGCCTGACCTCCCAGCCGCTAAGGATCTGGTGCATGCCCTTTGGCTCCCCCTGAATCAAGTCAGGGGCGCTTAGCTGTTCTCATCCCCTCCCACCCTATTCCTGCTACATCCCAGCTGAGATCCAGGGCTTGGGGTGACGGGTTTTCGTTCCAGCGTCCCGAGTCCCGAGTCCCGAGTCAGATCTCACTGACGGGTACCAATGGGTCCTGGTTCCTGGCTGGGGTCAACTCCCAGCCGGGACCTTGCTTGCATGGAGCACCGGTCGAATTGTGTGCTGGTGGCAGAGCCAGGAAAGAACTCATGTCGGCTGCGGCTCTGGGCCTGGATCCCGGCTCCGGACTGGACCCCGGGGGCGGGTCAGTCCTAGGTCGGGTTCGGAGCCGGTCCGAGTCTCACCTTGACGCAGTC